TTCTCATCTATTTGTTGATCTGATCTTCTTCTAAGATTTCCTCTTTATATTTGCTATCTTTATTTTCCACATTGTTTTATGTGCTAAAAGCATTTTAGATTGGGATCCTCTATTTGAGGAAGTCGAAGAATTTGCTCTTTTGTATCACAGACAGATATGTTTTTTTTCTTTCTCTTGCATCAAGATTGAATTGTAATTCCATGTGGTTTTGCTTATTGCTACTGATTTACAATCAAAAGAATCGATCTTTTGAGGTGGGATGACTAGTTGTTGTGGTTACTTATAGCTTTGGTGGAACAGAATTTGGATTGTAAGTGTTGAGCTATGAAATGGTTCGTTTACGTGAAAAGTAGTGAAATTTTGTGTTAGCATACAGAGAGTAGGCTTCATCTTAATCTTAATTAACACGTGAAGCAGAAGGAAAAGATGAAGACAGAAAAAGATCAGGAAGAGAGGCATATGGATCCTTTGTTTCCTAGATTACATATAAATGATGCAGCAGATAAAGGAGGTCCAAGAGCACCTCCCAGAAACAAAATGGCTCTTTGTGAACAGTCATCGCCTCAAAGTTTCACCTCTAGTTCTACTCCTGCAACCATGCCAATACTGCCTCTCCCGCCTAATAGTGGAAACTCTATTCCTGCAGCATCTTCTAGTCTTGTAAGTACTTAATTTGCTGTGTTCTTCCGACCGACTTCCAAGTATTGGTAGTATGTTGTTTGATAGAATTATGATAACTTGTCGTTTTGAGTTTTGTATGATGAACACAAATAATCTATGCAATTCGTATGGTCTTAGAAATAGGAGGTAAACTATATTAGAGAAATATTTCCTGTTTTCATCATCCCAAACCTTTGGATTTTCAACCTACTTCCATTCCTTTTGTTTACTTATTGCTTGTGCTGTTTCAGATTGAGTGAATCTGTTTATCCTCTTCATTCATTGCCAACTCAAGGTATTAGAAAATTGTACGTTTGCTTCATAGATTGATTATGCAGTGTGTTTCCTTAGATGAGAATATCTTGAGACCAATTATGACTGCTATCACCAAGAAGGTTCATTATGCTGTCCCATTCGATCTCCTCACACGAGCTCTTGAACACCCTGTAGGTTGGTTGCAACAAAAGGAATTATTTTCTCCACAATTCATCTGAGTCTTCTCATTTGGTTGAGATACCTCCGTTTTCTTCTGGAGGGATGAACTTTACTATGAGACATCCTGATGTTCCACCAGTCAAGTCGCTAAATCCTCAAGTTTTATGTCTTAAAGGGAATTTGCGTGCTACATCTCAGCTTAATCCTATTCATCCACACAGCTTACCATACTATAATAGTAACCCTTCTGCCAATAAGTTAGGAAGGGAAAATGATTTTTGTGGTCCGAATTTCGTCACATCAGGGAAACCTCTATATCATGGTAACATACATAAGAGTGCAGACAAGGAAAAAATGGTTATATCAAACTCAAAACCTTCTTTGAAATTTCAAAGCGTTTTCGAAAAGCAATATAAGGATACAGACAGGATGCAACTAAATTGCATGGAGCATAGTATAAGTCAAGCTGGAGATCTAGCAAAGTACCAAAAGAGAGAACATTGTGTTAAACTACCTGCTCCTCATCTGTCAACTATAGAGACGACAATGGTGCATGAAGCTCCAAGTCCAGGACATGGCAAGCTAAATATTAGTAAATCATTTGTATCAAGTGCTCCGGAAAATAGATGTGGTCTAGTAGGTGACTTGAATAGATGTAGTGATTCTAATTCTGAATCTGATGAAGACTCTTGGATTTTACACAAAAGGAAGGCTGCAGAAGATGTTACTGATGAGAAGCATGATGATGCCACGATTAAGAGATGTGCTTCCATAATGGAAGGTCCATCGTGTTCCTTTCTGCCTCACGGAGACAGCCATCAGAGTCCGAAGAGAGTTAAATCCTCTTCTGACTGTCCTGAAGACCAGATTAGTGGTGCTCCAGGTGTAGCAGGTGAAGGCAGAAGTGAAGGGATCTCAGAAGCTTCCTCCTTGAACTCTAGATTAGTAGAAAAAATGTCTTCAAATAATGTCATAGCATTGATAGGGCAAGAATTATTCTGGAAAACAAGAAGAACCATTGCACAGTAAGTCTCTTTAACTGATCATCTTTTATGTATATCCAACTTATCATGGCAGTAGAAATGAAAATGTGTGGCTTGATCTAGGGGTTAGTCGAAGATATCTGCTGATCACAATTTGTCTACTTTCAACCTATATCATGCATGTTCATATCATATATTTTTCTTTTCGCTCCATTACATCTGTTTCATCTTCATAAAGGTGTTATCTTCGGGAACTATGACCTATAAAAGTAGATGAAAACTAAAGTACTCAAATTGGCATAAACACCATATTCATACTTATACAAGAACCTCAAAGTTGTAATTATCGATATGAAGTTTCATGTTAGTGTAGCCTCTAGGTCTATGTTTGTTGTCATCACTGCTTCGCTTGCATAAACCTTAAAATCATATTCTTCAACAAATTTCTGAGAAATAATAATGTTAGGCTGATCTTATTCTGTTTCCTCTTCCAATATTTTTTCTGAAATCTACCATTTAACTTGTGTTTCACTATTTTTCAGCCAGCAACGGATCTTTGCAATACAACTATTTGAGCTACACAGACTAACAAAGGTACTTTAAAGACTTCTATTAGTTAGTTAGATTTGCCTTTTTCTTTTGTTGTCTTGAAGAGGCAAAGTGCAATTGCAAAAAATCAATAACTAGAAGGGGGTAAAGGAGGTTTTTTAGTGTTTTGCTTAAATTTTGGAAGAACTTACTTATTTTAGCATCTTTGCAGGTTCAGAAAATGATGGCCAGATCACCAGATATATTTTTCAAAGACAACTTCTATCTCCACCAACCTTCTATCAAATTTTCTTCCTTGAAGAATTTGCCATGTGATGATGTTCTTGAACCTCCTGTGGTGGAACAGAAAAATTCTACAAAACCAAACAATTTTGAACTTACGGCAGATAATGTTTATCTTCCCCTCCGAAAAGATAATGATAAGAAGAATATACCACAGCAGTCATCTCAAAAACTAAATGTAGGGACACCAACATCGAGATCTTTTGTATCCGATCCAAAATTAGCACCTCGATCCTTCCAACCACCTCCTGGATATCAGTGGTTAGTTCCAATAAGGTCACCTTCTGAAGGACTTGTTTATAAACCTTACACAGGACCTTGTCCACCGCCTGGAGGGATCATAGCGCCAGCTTATGGTAGTGTCAGGCCTGTGACCCTATCTCCACATATAGGTGGAGACTTCGCGAATGTGCCTTATAGTGTACCGACTTCCCACAAGCAAGGTGCTGGGATTTTTCCTGGTCCTGCACTCTTTGATCCATCCTGCATTCAACCGTATTCCATGCCTGTGATAAAGCCATCTGCTTCAAGTTCAGCTATCGAGCAAATGAATCCACTTTCCAGAATCAGGTCAAGTGAGAAGGAGAATAGTCAATTTATGCACGATGTCAACTTAGTTAGGCCTCATCGAAAACCATGCAACATATCATGCCAGAAGAGCGCGGCCATGTCAGATTGTGATCGAATCATTCAGGCGGATAGAGGGAGTGACATGCAAGGAAGTACTGCAAGTAGTCCTCCTGAGAGGGTGCAAAAGGGTGCACTTTCTCTTTTTCCTGTCACACCAACTGCAAAAGGTTCAGATCAACCAGTTCAAGATAACGACACGGAGCAGCAAATTCAAGTCATCAAGGTTGTGCCCCATAACCCAAAGTCAGCATCTGAATCTGCAGCTCGGATTTTTAGGTCTATACAAGAAGAAAGGAAAATGAATTACTAGTATGCAAAACCTTACAACTTAATGTTGTAAGAAAAGCCCTTTCTTCTGTATGTTTTCCTTATCTAAATTTCCCTCATTTTATAGTTTACCTCTTGGATTAAAGGTTCTTTACTGTATAGATATTCAATGGAAAGTGAAAAGCAATACAGGTTCATTCTTTTTCTACAAAATTTCTTCCTACTCTTGATTTTCTCTTTCAATCATCCTGCTCCATTATACTTTCTGACTCTGTACATTGACCAGAAACTTGCTAAATGTGTAGGACAACAGTAAAGATACATGAGAATGTCCAGTCTTAAAAATGTTTTCTTAGTTAAAAAAAAAAGAGATCAACTTCTCTGAAATGAAATTAAGGTGGAAGTTAGTGGAGGAAGGATATGCTCATGTTCTAATCATTCAGCAGAATGTACAATTTAAACTTCTTGCCAATGGCACCTGTGGCATATAGAGTAATATATACAATGTCTTGTAAGTGGTTCGATGAAATAGCTCGTTAACATCTTTGATAGTTTCTGTTGTAAGCTATGCTGCAAGTATCTTTCTTTAGTTTAGTGATTCTACACACTTGAATAGTCTTAGTATGCAAATGATTCCCTACAACCCTTTGTTGAACAAAACTTTAGTGTCGATCACAATAATTAAGTTCAGTTTTATCTCCACAAATGGTATTTTGAATCATAATAGTATTGATGTATCCAGTGGCGAATTTAGGTGCAAAAAATAGGGCACCCGAACCCGTGGTCTCCTCGTAAAATTAGATATTTTATGTATATATTTTCTAATAGTTGTATAATATTATATTCTTGCACCCGTACTACAAAAAGTCTAGTTGGTCCACATGGTTAAATGTTGAGCTTTTGACTTTGAGGACTGAGGATCAATTCCCACTTAATACATTTTTCTTGGTGCACCCATATTCGAAAAATCCTAGATTCGCCTCTGGATGTATCATACTGCAAATAGAGCATCTAAATTGTGATAGATGTGAAAAAATTTATACATGCCTGTACAGTAGACATCCAACTCAAATATTAAATACTGGGATTTCATATAATATTATCATCATGATCATAAATATCGATATATCTTTAGTATAACATGACAATGTCTATCATGTCATCAGTCCTTCAGCAATCATGTGGCCGAATGCTGATTTTTATACTTGAATATATCAGATCACAAAGCAATGGAGTTTCAGAAGCCTAGATACTTGGACGAGAGTTTTAATAAAGGATCTAATGCACTAGGAGAAAATTTTCTAGCAAAAAGGAGACAATATGAAGTCGTCTGGTTATTGTAGACACACGTCCTCTGGCCTTCCGAAAGTTGCTTGAGAAACTTATCTGTAACATCAGCCTTTCCAAATGTAGCAGGATGAGCACCACCTCTATGCCAGTCTACCCAAGTGAGACTCGTATTTGTCAGGAGATGAGGGGATTGGATGTGCAGCATTGTTGGGAAATAGTGTTCATCAACATAGCATGATGGTTTGCAGAACTGTTTAAATTTGGGGTAGTATACCTCATCTGTAACAATGTCAACAGCCAATTTCCTGTTAACTTCAAACCACTGAGATCCTTTACGCCATTGAGTGATTTTAACCACAGGTGACATCTTCCAATTGTAACGCCCTCTTCCAACAGATCTAGGATCATCAAACACACTCACAAAGCTGTACCTGGATTCTGATATGTATCGATAGATAACACTGAAGTTGTGGAGAGGAATGCACGACTCTGATAGGATTATAAACCATTCGTTGGAGATATCAAGCAATGCATTAGCAAGAAGCCGTCTTTCAGCATCAGTGATGCTAATATCCCCCCACTCTGCCACCTACGCGAAATTAAAGCCACATAATTATGACCAGAATACATATTACTACTAAGTACAATAGACTCAGAGGTGATTTCAGATGATCACACAACTCATAATTGTTATTTCAAAATGTCATTTTTTTTTTGAAAAAAATTGGAATCAAACTAGCCTCGTCAGTTCTACTTATCTTATATCAACGTTTAGAAGAATACTAAAGCAACTCGGATCACTAAATGTTGCAAAAACATGGAAATAGCATCAACAAATATCTTTTGACATACGGATATGGAAAAATGGAATCAGAAAGTTGCAGCCTTGCGTCACCAAAATAACTCAAATCAATCAATCTTCTAATATAAGAAGCAAATAAACTTCACCCTGTAAATGAAAATATTTCTGACAAACAATGGTGCTAGATACTCTTTCGAAAGTGTCACTATTGAAGACATAATTACGTCAATAAATTCTACTCTCTCTAAAGGCTTAAACACTTCTAAATGAGCATCAAAACATATCAACCTCTCATGTGAGGAGACGTAACTAGATAAAATGGTTTACACAATTCAAAAGCTAGGGAAACTATTTTGTGCATAATTTTGAATAAAATTTGTACCATCACATTACCTGACTAGGAATTTGCCTGCCATAAAACACAGATGAAGTTGGGAAATCAGGTTTGTAAGATGGCAAATTATGAATGTAGATTGAATAAAGCTCTTCATTCCCCTTGAAGAACCTCTCCCACAACGGAGCCAAAGGCAGAGAGCCCCTAGTTAAGAACAAGAACGCGATTTTAGGCGTTCTCTTAAAAGGCAATTTTTTCATTTGAGGAACAAATGAAGCTCTCCAGAAAAGCTCAGCATCATTCATTGAATGATGCAAGTTTGATAGAGGCCTAATCCAATTCTCTAAACTATTTTGTCGTTGAAAACATGGATTTATTCTCGATTGAACCACAGGGAGTACATTCTTCAATTCTGCAAATCTAAGCATACACATACTTAAAATTGATAAAGCAATTCCTAAACCCAAAAACAACAAGAGAAACTGAAGCACTTTCAATGATAAAGGCTTGTTGTCTTTGCCATTCTCCAAAATCCCCATATTCCCAAACTCAACTTTCATTGAACACCAAATTGGGACTCTCAATTCTATTTTTTCACATTAGTCATTAAGAAAATTAATTAAAATTTAAAACAGAATATCTCAACAGATATTATCAAAATCCATATAGGTGAAGCTGCTATTTTGTCATTAACAAGTAGTAAAAAATAAGAAGAAGAAGATAAAAACTAAAATCCAAGCTACTATTAAAGACGTTTGGGTTTGAAGAAGAAAACTGGTTCTTGTTTTCGCAGAGTAGACAAATCTTGAAATAAAAATTTCTATGGAAATTTATTGCAAGTCTATGCACAGTTCCCAATGTTGATGTTCTGTTCTCATGGGGTTTTATTATGGAGGCATCCTTTTCTGTACAAATAATTGTCTTTTAATTTTGCCTTTGAAATTTCCGATTTGTGGCGTTTTGTTCAAAACTTTAATGTTTTTAGCCTTTTCAAAATGAGTATTTTTTAAGGTAAGTTTGACTAATTTCTGAAACTAAATTAGATTATATAAATTTAATATTTTAAAATTTTATAAAATTAATTATAAATTGTAAACTTTTTTGTATATTAATATGGTGGAGGAAAAAATGTTGATCAAATTGTTTGCAGGTATATAAACTGTTTAAATAGAGATATAAACTTTTCTTTGGTAAAAATTAGAAATCGACTAATAACCAACAAGTTATTTGAATCTCAAAAGGTGAAAGTAAAAAATATTTTGGAGGGAGTAAAATCACAAAAAGGTTTTAAAATTTAAACTTTTACCAAACCAAACTTCGCTTACTATTTTTAAAAATTCTTTTGCAAAAACAAATTTTGAAAAGAATAAAACAAAAAAGGAAGGAAATATTCACTTTCTTTTTATGCCAAAAAAATATTTAAAATGTGAGAAAATTTCCGAAACAAAAAAGGCTCCTTAATATCAAATGAAGGCGATATTTATATACGGAAACATTAGCTATAATTTTAAAATAATATTAAATTCTCTTTATCATAAAATTGTCAATTTTTATTCTTTTATTATAATATATAGTTATATTTAAAGAATTAACAACTCAATTCACATAAAAATAGATGTGTTGAGTGTTGACTCTCGTATATAATCAATCTAATCTTATAATTGTTTTCGAATAAGAGGTTTCTAAGCAATTATGTTTTGGTTATTTGTTCCTTCACATTTCTTTGTATTCCTTTTTTAGTCCTAATCAAATTATAGTTTGAAGTGTATAATTATGTATACATGTGCAGATTATACCATAGATAAAGATTGTTTTTCTCTTGATCATATGTCTCATTTTCGAGCTTTAAATATAAAAAAGTTTTTAATAGAGAGCACTTTTCTAAATGAGTTATATATAATATAAATTTAAATTAATCATGTTCCATTATAATATCGATCACCAAATAAGAAAAATAAAAAAACATGGATAGAGAAAAGTCAACATAAACCAAGTTTGTTGCTAACATAAATAAACTAAAAGTCATCCTTTTTAATTGGGAATGCATGATCTATATTTTAGACGTAGAGTATACTCTCAACTTACCCTCTTACTTATCCATGGCCATGGGACTTTAAAGGCGTTAAGAAATATTGATTGATAAATTAATATTTCGTATTAGATTTTTTCAAAATGATTTGAAAGTAAAATATTATTAAATGATTTTTTTTAATAAATTAAAATTAACATGTACAAAAAGAAAAAATGTAAAAGTAAAAGTAAATGGAAGTTTTTTTCTTCTTCAATAGTTAATAGTCAGAAGGTGCCTAATTTAATCTATTTTCTAGAGTAGATGAAAAGTCTATGAAGAATTCAATCTCTTGGTGTCAACTGTCACTTTTTACAGTTAGAATAGAAATAAAACTCTTGTACCTCTACCTTACGTAGCGTTCGGTTTATATAGTGAATTTTTCGAACATGTGTGTTGGATTGCATCTCATGCTAATTAGTATTAATAATTAAAAAGGATATAATTAATATTGAAGTATATATGTGATGAAAATCGTAGAAGAAAAATATAAGTATAAATTAATAAATAATTAACTTATGTATTGTCATTGCAAAAAACTAACTTATGAAACTTGTTTTCAAATTACGAACATGAGAATATCCTTTAATTTTTTGAGGTGAAATCTGAATTTAATAATGAATTAATTGTTTTGTAATAGTAATTAATAAAAAAAATCATTATGCAGTGACTAAAGAAAGGATTAATGTTATACGAGAATTATTTGCACTAAAATCATTCTTGTCCTTTAAATAGTCAAATTTGTTTATTGCTAATACACATATTTTTATTTCATATTTAATCTCACATACATAAATTTATGCACAACTTAATGCGATACTTAATTTTTCTTATACCACTAACTAAACATTGCATTATATTATGTTGTACCTTATAACGTGATTAATTATACTACAAATTACAATCAACCAAACGGCTCCTTCAATTAAACCTGAAATCATTTTTTGCCAAAAAGTCATTATTTCGGTTCCAATTTTTATATTTTTGTACTTTTTATTTCAGTAATATATATTTCATTATCTTCTGGAAATTTTGACTATAAATTTAAAATACTTTTTCCTTTTGAAGTTATTCTTCTAATTAGAACTAATTCACTAATGAATATTAATCTTGTTACTGCCGCCTAATTGCCAGAATCATTTGAATAATCTAATTGAACCAATATCCCCTTGTCCACATAATTATATTGTGCGGATTTTCTTATGTGATTAATTACAAAGAAACTGATTTCATTTGTCGACAGTGACTTCGTAAACATATAAAAAATAACCTTATCTACTGTAACATTTAATATATGTCACGTAGTCATCAAAATTACGGAGGAAATTCAAACCCGAAACGTCTGAATTATGAATCTAATATTTTAATATTGTCAGACTTGTCTTGAATTGTCCTTTTGCAAAGATAATAAGTTCATCTATGTCTATCTAGGCACTTAATAATGTACTTAGTATTAGAGTGGAAAATTAAAAGTAACTGTAGATTCCGATATGTGTAACGACTTATAGAACAATTAATTACCGATATTAACGTGTCTAATTATTAGCCGTCAATCTTTTTTCTTTTACCTAATTTAAGGTCCAATTGACTAGTTTGGCCAACTATCGATCTTTTGGAAAGAAACCTAACAAACATTTGGAGTGTATTTTCTGGTATAACAGTGTTTGTAGAACATAAAATAGAAAAAAAAAAAAAAAAAGAGAACACTATTGTATCTGCAATGACATATATGTGGTTATAATGGTAGAAATTTTATTTGAGTTTGACAGTCTTTTTTCTTATTTTAGAAATAACGTTTCATATGGTCACTCAACTATGAATTTTTCTTTTATAAAGTCACTTAATTTTGATTTTTAACTAAAAAATCACTTAACAATTAAAATTTACTTACGAAGTTACTCGATCTGTTTAATCAATTTTTTCATTAAGATTTGCTAATGTCAATTTTTTTTATCTAAAACAAAAAATTTGAAGGAAAAAAATATATCTATTTAAACTTATTTCTTCTCCTTATTTTTGTTTTATAGCATGGTTATTTTTAGCTTCTTTTATATACTTCGTAATCCTAATTCAGCTGGATTCAAAATCTGTTTCATCTTTGGAAAGGCAAAGTAATCTCTTTGAAATAAATTTCTCTTTCTTGTTATTTCACTCGAAAAGTAATATGTCAATTAATCAAATTGTTTGTTTTCTGAATTTGGTTAAACATTATCCTAACGAATCATTTATAATTGAAGTTATATTAAGTTATTGTTAACTGTAGTTCAATCTCAAACTAAATCTGGTTATATAAAAGTTAATCTAAATCTTGTTTTTATCTTGGTACATTATCACAAAACATGTTGTATTTCTAATGGGTCGAGTCATTAAAATGGTTTAAATATATATATTTCTAATTTTTTTAAAAATTGGTTTTAAATAAAAACTTCATATTATTAAATTTTAATGAAAAAATTAATTAAATAGATTGAGTGACTTTTAGGCTACACCATTAAACTTGATTAGAGGTTATCTCAATGAGTAATTTGTTTTTTTATTGTTATACTATTATTTATTTACTCCGTAAAATTCATATAAATTCGATTAGAGGCTTCTCAATGAGTAATTCAGCAACCAAAAACACATGTCATAACAAACTTTATGTGTTTTTTTTTGTTCAAAACAGAGTGATATATATGTTACGTAATATGCATTGTTACATTGTTACCAGCAAGTGGCAAAATAGGACACCTACTATTGGTGTTCTGAGGATGGGGCATACTATTACTAGTACTATTACATGAGTTAATTACAAAGGGCATACTATTACTAGTACTATTACATGAGTTGCTTGCAAAAGATTTCTTAGATAGTCTAACAAATGGAGTTCCTTCTTTGTCTGCTTCTAGTTTGTTGGATACAAACACCGGAGGAAGTTTCATGCACAAAAAAGAGTTGATTTGATCCATTTTAGCGCCTTCCTTTGCTAGAGCGTCTGCCACTTGGTTTGTTTCTCTAAAGATATGGTGTATTAGGGGGTTCCCCAGGCGATGAAGTAGATCCCTGCAATCAGAAAGAATATTTTCGTAAGTGGGGTGTGCTCCTCGAATGAGGGTTTTAATTTCCTTGCAATCGACGTTAACTTCCAATGGTACTAATCCTCTTTCTAGTGCTATTCGAAGTCCCTGCAGAAGTGCTATCAATTCAGCTTTCAAGTTATTTTCCATATACAAGTTTCTCATATATCCCACAACTCAATCACCCTTGCTATTCCTAATGACTCCACATGTTCCGCCTTGTCTTGTGCTTCCCATGAACGATCCATCGCTATTGAGCTTGTAACCCTGGCTGGGTGTTGTCCATTTAAGGTAGTTGATAATATTTTTATCTTCCGTGTGTGTATTGTTTGTAAGAGCATAGTATTCAACAACATGATACAAAGCGTTCTTTGATGAAATATTTTTTTCTCATTATTATGGTAGTTTTTGTTTCTTGTTAACCATATGTTCCATATATATAAGGGAAAAACTTCCTTCCAAGTTGTATGACTTTTTATGTTAATGTTGAGGCTTTTTAGTAGTGCTAACCAGTCAGAGCCTTGGTTATTTGTGAACTGATTTATGGTGTAAATTACCCCCAGTTTCCTCCACAACTGCCTTACATTCGTGCATTCCACGAAAATATGTTTGATTGTTTCTGGTTTTTTGCATAGATTGCAAAGGTCGCTGACATCAATCCCTATAGATTTGAGGTAGCTTTTAGTTGGTAATCTATTGTGGTGACAGAGCCAAAGGAAAATTTTAATCTTATTTGGACATTTGAGTGACCATATCCAACTAGGATTGCTAATGTTTTGTTGATCTTCCTGTTTATTTTCTTGTAAGAACCTATAAGCAGAGGATGTAGTTAGAATTCCTTTTGAGTTTGGTTTCCAAATAGCCGTATCCGATAAATTTGATGTAGGATTTATGTAGGTACTCTGTACTAGTAACAATATTTGTTTTGGTAATTCGACGGATATTAGTGGTTGAGTACTTTCTCCTAATGTATGGTACATGTCTCCTACTCGAAGTACGTATTCTTCTTTCATTAGTGGTCCATGTATTTGTTCCCTCATAGATTTCCATTTGGTAACCACTTGTCTGTAACAACCCTCTTAGTCAATTTATGAATTTTACTCATTATTTTTATATTAGCCCTTTTTAGTAGATTTTATAAATAATTTATGACTTATACAAATGAGTGACATGATTTCAGATTTAATAAAAGATTATTTTGTTGCTAATAATAATAGAAAAGGAAAATAAATAAATAAATAAAAGGGCAAATGTTGCTGGCAGTTGTGAACAACAGCAGTTCACGCAGCCGAGAAAAAAGAAAATAGAAAGGGTTGGAATACTCACCTCCGTCGTCGATGCACTTCGTCCAGGTAATGATCATAACTTAATAAGGATGCAATTGTTCATCTCTTTTATATTTAATGAGCAGCTATGATTGTTTAGAATTAATATTATTATTAATATTGGCAATGAAAGATAATCAAGGAAGGTGGGTTTGACAAAAAAATTATATTTGAAATTGGAATATGAGTGAGTGGAAAAATGGGTTTAGAGTGCAATCATTGAATAATGATTAGGTGGTAATAATTGTACAGTGAGTGGTCCTTGGGAGATTTAAGTGAGGAATAATGGAATTTAAGTAGTAGACGTACTAGTTGGTTGCTGGACACATATTTTTCCTTCGTTCTTCCTGCGACTCCAATTAAAAATATGGTACCACATTATTATCAAAGTTGTGATATATTGATAGATCTAATTAAATACTATATGTATTGTATTATTTGAATATTATTAGATTCATGATACTGGAGATTTTAGAATATAATCCTAGACCTGAAATTTAAAAATATGAGAATTGACATGTTAATTGACATCAAGATTTAAGATCTTGCTTATAGGTTTGGGTGAGTTCTTGGGTCTAGGCTAGACATATAATAATATAGATGTTGTTAGTTTTGAAATTTTATTGTGGTCATTTATTTGAATAGATGACATTGAGTTGGAAGTTTAACGAAAGGGGAAGACTCAAGTCCCGGAGTTAATGTTCGATAGATCGAGGCAAGTGGATTTCTAAACCCTTGTTAAGCGTATAGAATTCATGTATTTCCTTGTGGTATATGTTTGGGAGTAATGTGATCAATTGTTTGTGTGATGTGTTGAGAATTGTTTGAAAGACTTGTTGAATCATTGTTGAAGTTATATCATGATTGTGTTGTTGTGATTTGAGCAATGTTATGAAAATGGTCATCTCCTCATTATTTGTGTGAACATGTCATTTGCATTGTTCTGAGACGTGGTTGTGATAAGTGTTATGTGCATTGAGAAAGAATAAGAAACTAAAGAGGATGTGCCATTTCGAAGGACGTATCGCGCGCCGCGATGGATACAATATTTCGAGGGACGTGTCGCGCGCCGTGACGGATATTATATTTCGAGGGACGTATCGCGCGCCGCGATGGATGCATGGACAGATATGTCCCCCATGGGTCTCGGACTGAGAGACAGCGGGTGTGTATCATTAGGTCAGACATGCATCACTATACTTGACATTGCATTTCATTACATTGCACTTCTTTATTATTGGTGAACTTGATCTTGTGTGTTGTTGATCTTGTGAGTGTCTTTCCGTGGAACTTGTGACTGATGAATATTGAACTTGTTATTGAAGATATACAATCGTCTGGCCTGAGGAATCACAGAAGGTGTCCATAACGCGTTTGATGGTTTCGCAGGTTCCTTTGTCTGCTTTGCTCATCAGGACCAGGTTGTCGGCAAAAAAGAGGTGTGATATTTTTGGTCCTTTGGCGGAAATTTTTATAGGAGTCCAATGTTTCAGCTTGACCTCCTGCTCGATTTTTCTCGATAGGACTTCCAAGCATAGAATGAACAGGTAAGGTGACATAGGATTTCTCTGTCTTATTCCTCTAGATGGTTAGAAATATTCAGTTTTTGAGCCATTTAAAGTAGAATAAGGTTTCCCTAATAAACGCCCACTCCATTTTGTCAAAAACTTTTTCGAGATCTACTTTGAGAATGAGATTTGCTTTTTTCCCCTTCATTTTTCTGAAGTGTGTTATTATTTCTTGGATGATTATTGCATTATCCGATGCTGTTTAAATCATAATAACCGTAAAAGATGATCATGAAAGGAAATATTCTCCATGCCTAAATTAATATAATTTTAATAAAAGATATGATCACATCAAGATCATCTATGTATTGTTACGTATAAATATAATTATATAAATAAAATTTTAATAAAAGAAATAATCATATAAAGATAATCCATCTTATAGTATATTTTCTTGACAAATATTTTGTGTTATATAATATAAAAATAATATATGTAATTAATGAACGACAACGTCCAATCTCACACCTTAATTTTAAGTGTTTCGTGCTTCATTATAAATATTATTTTAATTATTCAATCCTTTTTATTTGTAAAAAGCAGCATAAAGAGTTGCAAATAAAATTTGTAAAAAATAACATAAATGCGATAAAAATGATAATTTTCTCATTGGAAAAAAAGTAGAAAATAAAATAGAGAGGGCAGTTCGGTAATATAATGTTTTGTACCAATTTCCCTGTTAGGGTTTCACTGCCGTCTTCCTTTTAAGTTTATTGCGTCTTCTAGTTCAGGCCGTCGAACCGAAACTCTACAGACCCTTTTGCTACTCACAGTAAGTCCCGAATGCATCTTTGCTTCTCTGCAGATCAATCGACGTGATTAATTTAGCTTAATTTGTGATCCAATTGACAGGGTAGGTGGTATAAAAATGACGACAGTTCCAGCGCAACTGGTTTGGGAGATCGTCAAGAAAACCAACTCATTTTTGGTGAAGGAGTTTGGTAATGGTACCGCCGGTGTCGTATTCAGCAAAGAGCCTAACAATCTTTACAATCTTCACTCTTACAAGCATTCTGGTTAGTATTGTAAACATTACCCTGTGCTTATGTCGATTTAACAAATTTGGTTTCTGTTGCGAATAGTGGTACCTTGAGCTTATACGGTAGTACATGGTATTAGGTTTTGGGGAAATGTTTTATTGTTCGAGCTAAACTGATAGCTGTTTTGTAAGAGTATATTTTTGTTCCTACTTGCACTTAATGTGATGTTGGAAAACTGGAAATATGTAATATATGCATTCAAATTGTAATGAAGTTCAGCTATTTTCCATATTCCATTAGTATGTTTTATGTGGGCAAGCCATGGCTCGAAGATGGAGTAGCCTTTTTGGTGAACCATAATTGAGTTACAAGTTTGAGGCTCTTTGCAGAAATGAAAGGGGAAGACTACATGTAGTATCTGTCCTGTCCCCTTACTCCGCACTAGCCAGAGAGCACCTAGCACGTGGGATAAGTCTCTTAATCCCGTTAGTATGTCGTATGGAATATTCTTACATGAAAGAATAACTTGAATTTGTAATAGTCATTGAACGGAACATTGCATTGCTGAATGAGTTAGATTTCTAGTTTTAGCTATTTTAGTTTTCCATTGCTCATGTTAAGCATTAGTTAAACTGCTGCTGTCATGACTTTTTAGGCCTAGCAAACAAGAAGACTGTGACTATCCAGCCTGGCGGCAAAGATCAATCAGTGTTGCTTGCTACTTCAAAGACCAAGAAACAGAACAAGCCTTCAAGTTTGCTGAATAAATCTGTAATGAAGAAGGAGTTTAGGCGCATGGCCAAGGCAGTGTCAAACCAGGTGATTGTCCTTTTTGACCAGTAGAATGTGTATATTTACATGAATTTGTTTGGTCTTAAGCTGCATATTAGTTGCTTATAATGATCATGTAATTTGTTGTATGACGTTTTTTTTTTTGGATGAATACAAGGAGTTGTAAACCGAATTAAAAATTCACATTCTAGAGAGCTGGCAATTGGAGTTATCTGAGCATTAAAACATGTCTGGTTATTGATTACTATCTACTGTTTACCATTTTCTCCAAATTGTGCTCGACATATTCTATGTAATGAATATACCTCCACCTTTCTGTTGTAGGTTGTGTATTGCACTGGGCATGTTGTTGAATATACCTATACCCTTTTGAATTGTTGATTCAATTTTTTGCTATCAGATAAATATGCACATCATAAATGGTTCCTTTCATTTGCCATATTTTTTCTTCAGATTTTCTCATTAATTTCTGTCAATTTGCATGGTTTCCTTGCAAGAGTGCTGTCTCAATGTTACTTTTGCACATATATGGTTTCCTTTATAGCATTAGTATTTTTGTTAGGTAATTTGATTATTTTTTCTCAGCAGGTTCTTCTTTGCCTTCACTATTTCTGATGTTACAATCTTGAATTTGCATATGATACAGGTAGCAGATAACTATTACAGGCCAGATCTGAAGAAGGCATCCCTTGCAAGATTGAGTGCTGTGAACAAGAGTCTCAAGGTTGCGAAATCTGGTGTCAAGAAGAGGAACAGGCAGGCCTAGATTCCCATTCTAGAATATGTTAGGCTACGCTGTATGAGCATTGAGCTGCACTTGATTTTTTTTCTTCCCTGTGTCCTCGAGTACCCGAAAGTTTGCTATTTGAGTTCATATTTTTCTAGATTTTTGGGCTAAAATATACGTTCTATTTGAGATTTTATAAAGATAGCAGTTATTCTGATTAATGAGTTCCAGTTTTTATAAAATCTTTTGTTTCTCACTACTATTCATGGACCCAATCAAAGGAAAACAAGTGTAGCAAAAAATCAACTCGCAGAAGAAATTGATTTCTTAAATCCTACGCAAAGGATATAACCGAGTAAGAAAATTGCATTTTTACTCCTTCAAACTACATCTATTTAACCTTTCAATCAATAAAAATATGTACTTTAAATCTTTTTATAGGCGAAATATTTATAAGTTTAACAATTTGTTAACTATTACATCAGGTATTTATCAAAAATAAAATAAAAAGTGCTCTTAACATAGTAAAAACAACTCAAAAATATCCCCTCCTATTTAATCAAATTTGTCTAATTTGTTCACCTATCTGATAAACAAATGTCTTCTACATAGTAGAAATTACCCAAAAATGTCCCTCCACTCATTGAATCAAATTCGCATTCAATGTTATTTTTAAGCTTAAAATTGTCCCTCCATTGACAACACAATTACATGATATAATTGTGTCGTTAATGGAGGAATAATTCTAAATTTGAAATAATTTAGGGACTAATTTAAAGATGAAAGAATTTTTTAAAGTTATTTCTATTATATTAAGTACTAGTAAAATTATCCGCGCTTCGCGCATGAATTTAATATCATGGAATTTATAAAATAATACTTAAAATTTATCAGTCATCAAAACTAAAACACTATATTATCTTATATACAAGATTACATAGTAACAAACATTAATAATAAAGGAAAATAAAAATTATTACATCTTATCATTTATCCTTAATAACACAAGCATAAATAAATGACTATAAAAATACATAGCAGAATCTGTAATATAAGCAATTATGTCAGTAAGTCACTCAATAGGAGCAAAGTACACAAATATTTAATTATTTAATAACATAACTATGAGAGTAATATAATTTTAAAAATTGCCTTAACTTGGGACTAGGAGGGCACACTTTAATTGATATTTGATTGAAGGATTAATGCGCTTAATCATAAAGTAAGAGGCACAAACTCGAAATTCATCAGAAATTAAGGGATCAAAAAATCAAGTAAAGAATTAACAATGAAGTAAAGAAACTTGACCCAATTGCCCCTGGCCCTACAAAATTGAGTGGGCATATCCAAAATCGGAAAGGGAGAACTGCAAACCCTAACTTCAGAAATTGAAAAGGTGATTGATCGATCAAAGGAGAAGAATCGCCAAAAACAATCGAAAGACTCCATCACCAAAGCTTAGAAAATGGGAAACGCCGAGAAATTGATGAATCAGATCATGGAGCTCAAGTTCACATCGAAGAGTCTCCAACGCCAAGCCCGAAAATGCGAGAAGGACGAAAAGTCTGAGAAACTCAAGGTGAAGAAAGCCATCGAGAAAGGTAACATGGACGGCGCTAGAATTTACGCCGAAAACGCCATCCGCAAGCGCAGCGAACAGATGAACTATCTCCGTCTCTCCTCTCGCCTTGACGCCGTTGTGGCTCGCCTAGATACCCAGGTAAAGACCGATCCAACATTTAAACAGTGGCGCACGTGCGTCCACATCTCGATTATGTACATATAACTAGTAAATTGTGATATGTTTTGTGTACGCAGGCGAAGATGACGACGATCAGCAAGTCAATGTCCTCGATCGTCAAATCACTGGAGTCTTCACTCAACACAGGGAATCTTCAGAAAATGTCGGAGACGATGGATTCATTCGAGCGTCAGTTTGTGAATATGGAGGTTCAAGCTGAATTCATGGAGAGTTCTATGGCTGGAAGTACTTCCTTATCGACTCCAGAGGATCAGGTCGGCAGCCTGATGCAACAGGTGGCTGATGACTATGGACTCGAGGTGTCCGTGGGGCTTCCGCAAGCAGCCGGCCATGCTATATCTTCTAAGGATGAGGAGAAGGTCAGTGAGGATGATCTGTCCAGGCGTCTTGCTGAGCTCAAGGCGCGTGGGTAATTGAGAAAGTAAAGATTCTTACTGTTAATATAGAGGCTTTGGTATTGGTGTAATGTGATGCAGTATGTGGAATTTTATCTGTTGCATACTTAAGATTGAACACTTCGATGTACATTTTACTCTCTTGTGATTGTGTAGTCAATTTGCTTTACCAATTGAGCCTGTGACATCTGTATGTTTGCTATTAGACATTGCGACAGCATCTTAAGCCTATTCTCAAGTAGATTCAGAGATGTGCATGGTAGCTTCTTCTTCAGAATAGTAGAGGATTCTTAGTGTCCAATTTGGACTGATATGGGCTGACATTTTTGAGAATTTATGATGCTATGTGATTGTGAAGAAGCCGTGGGTTGGTTTTGGTGTTTTCCTGTTGTAGATGAGATGTGCACCATATGCCTAAGTTTTGAATGCTGAACATTTAGTACATCCCGGAATTCACAAAGTTTTAAGAAAGATGTGAGGTTAAATGTAGTTGATTATCAAGTTTGATACCCACATAAGGTCACCTCTTTAACTAAACTTGTGTCATCCTTGAGGTTCTCTAAGTCCAATGATATGAACTTCTGAATTAGTTGATGACGACCCTTTATAACTCTATATACCTAAGCAGCTGAAGCCTGAGAGTATCGTAAGGGGCTATCGGATGGTCTGTGTTTCTTCGAAGTAGGCTTTAATGGAAACATGAGACTTCTTAGAACATCGCTAGTAGACTTGGGATACTCTGATCAGCTTGCCAATTTGCTTGTGGTTGTGCCACATTTATAGGGTATGTTATTTGAAAAAGCTGATATAAACTGTGGTTCTTTATTCTTTCCTTCATGTAACTCACTCTTCGATCTGGATAACTGCTGTTCATCTTCGACTTATTTGGAGTTTTTCCCCTGAAAACCTCGGTCTGAGGGATAGGGTAAAATGTGCACCTATACTTCAAGTTGAATAATTGAAGTTATGAGGCAATGGCCAGGTACTTGTATCTATTGAGTATTAGATAGATATCCCAACTTTGTACTAAGCAAGTTGTTGCACCCAGCTACTAATATATGCAACTGTTCTGACTTCCGACTGCATTTTTTTTTTTGTGGACCGGAACTAATTGAGCAAATGTGTTTAGGAGGAATATATAGCCCTTTTCTTTTCTACGAGGTGGATCATGAGTAGAGTGTATATTCTTGGTGTATTTGTTTGGAAGTTGGAATGGACGATGTGAAATGATAGACCAAAATCAGTTGAATTCTTTCCCCAAGATTTCATTATCCCAGCCAATAGATGTGGAACAGCTGTTAAGTTGGAAAACATTATAGTGGAGTGCACCTTCCCAATCTTCCATCGGACATCATATTAACTACATGTTCTTTTTACCCACAAAATGAAGGCCAGCAAACACAATAGCTCACTAAAAGTATGTTCCTCCATCAACATTTTGTAAATTTCCTACTTAAATTATGACACATTTCTATGACCTCTTAACCAGGAACTTGTCAAGGTTAAGAAAGAATCCCCAAAAATGAAATGCGGCAAAAAGTTTGTAATAGCGAAAATGAAAATTACAGAACTCCAGTGATAGAACGAAAAAACATTTCTATAATAGTGGCAATGAAAATTGCTCAATGGGCTGATAGTATTATGTCATCACAAGGAGACATGCTGAAGTTTATTCAGACAGCCCCAGACGCAACAAAAACACAGAAAAACCAAGGAATTTTGTAATGGGACCATTTGGCTCAAAGTCTGCATTCTGGTGGTACTTAAATTATTTACAAATCATCTGCATTTGTGAAAAAATAGTTTTTCAACTTCTCCAGCTCCATGCCTGTAAAGTTTCGTAATTTGACTTCCTCTAACTTATGCCTTCAACATTTCAAAGGTAGAGATGCGCATGTACAACAAGGTTTCTCATCCTTATCTGATGCATCTCTGTATATTAACTACAAAATCACAAAACCTGTAAGAACACAAATGTCTTCATGGATAATCGATCATGAAACCTATATAAAGAGTGTTAAAGCTCCTTGTTATCAACTTATGAATCCCATTCCTCTCTCATACCCTATGTCTAAAGGAAGATAAGAAAATGGAGAATGAAACAGTTACTATGAGAGAACAGGGAAGCTTCATCCAATTGCAAGGAAACCTTCAAAAAGAACAAAGGTGCAAGAAACCTTAGTCACCACTAATTTTTACATACATGCCACAAAGTGTGGTGCCTTTGAAAGATGAAACATATTACCTTCATGGTCTGTAAGCCATTGTCAAAAGATACAGTTCCGAGTCGGGGAGAAATCCAAAACAAACTATCAAGAACGTCCACAACTGAATGCTTCACTAGATTATGAATGTTTACATGGAAACCATTAGTAGCATAAAGTGGAGGATTGAAGTTTCCTCTCATGTCTTTTGGTATAACTATCACCTGTACAAGCAAAAAGAAGAACTGTTAGAAATTCACATCTGATCTGCTTATTCAGGCAAGGTAATAAGAACAAAGTAGACAGTTCTATTCCATGTACCTCATCACAATCGCAGCAGCGTAGATTAACAGACTTGGAATGATTAAAGTTACCAAGAGACTTTGTGAGCTTAGAGTACCAATGAGAGTCAATGGTTTTTAGGATCAAGGTGAGATGAGCTTTCAGCAAATGTGAACCTTTCAGTTTGAGTGTGGTTCCATAATGAACATGATATGTGAATACAAATAAGTTAGGAGCATCCACATCAACCACAACCAAATTGTCACACGCAATGATTGCCAAGCACTTGAGATCTTCATGGTGTTTAGCAACAGAAATCTCATGATGTTTAGTCCATGTCTCCTTGAAAGACAAAACTTGTAAATGATTACAAGTTGTGCATAGATATTGAAGTAATTGCTCATCCAGAAATGAAGCCTCAAGGTGTAACTCTTGCAAAGATGAAAGTTTTAAATCACCTGAGGGTAGTTTAAGCTCAAATCCATATAAACGAAGTACATTTAGTATGTGGTTATGAAGTTAGAGAACTTCAACATTTACTTCGTCTGAACCTATTGTATATTACTTTTAAACATTATACATAATTATATAATGTATAATTGATGAATAATCACTACATAATTTGTGTATAATCAATATGTATATCCTATCCATTAATTATACAATAAATATAGGCCTATTATCACTTTATTCACCTGATTTTAACTTTTTTTTAAAAAAAATTAATCGAAATTGCACAAAATTCTCAAACTTAAATATTGACCTTCGTTTGAAACAATTGCATATTACATGTAACCCTTATTATACATAGATGCATAGTATATAATTAGTAAAATAATCACTACACAATAGTGTATAAATGATGGTGGTTGTGGTTGACAACAGTGTTAATTGTGATGGTGGGTGATTGGTAGTAGGGATTGATCGTAACAGGGGTGGTGGCCAAGGCGGCAGTGGTGGCAAGGGATATGATTATAATGATGGAACTAATAAGTGTGGTAGCGACCGACAATAGTGGTTGACAATGATGGTGGTTGTTAGTGATGATTGTGATGACAGAGATGATTGGTGTCAGTAGTGGTGGTTGACAATGATTGTGATGGCATAGATGGTTAGTGGTGGACTGGTGGTGATCGCTGATTATGGATAAAATAGTGATGAGAATTATTCACACAAATTATTGCCCATTGATATTAAGACTTTCTTCAAGAGCTCAATGATTAAAATCTTCTCAAACCAAATAAATCATCAAGTCTTGATATAAAAAATATACTTGATAACTTAAGGTCTAAACTCAGACCTTTATTAAATGCAAACAAATGAGTCGTAACCAATAAATAGTAACAAGTAAAAAATCAAAATTATAATAACACTGTCCGGGCCCTCAATCAATCTTCCCCTTCTTTGAAGTAATCAAAGGTAATCACTAAGCTAAGTCCCTCCACTAGTTAGTGGCACAAGGACATAACAAATCTTCCTCAAGAATTGAAAGTCAACTCAATTTGCCTAAAGATCTCAAAACAAATCGATGGTTATATATGATTTCTTTTCAAAATGAGAAACAATATGATGAATTTTCCACCTTACATATAGACCATTACATTTATTGTCATATCAGAAACTGAAGTCAGAAGGCTGCAAATTTGGTTGGCAAGCAGAGACCAATCACTCACACTAGCACTAGCTGTAGGGTTGAAGTAGTTAATTAATTAATATCAGACCATTTTGTAACACATTCACTCTGACTTTTGAATGAATCATAACTCATTTATAACTGAAATTTAGTCATCACACACATACACATATATGGTATTTATTTTTTTCAAAAATCATAAAATAATTAACAGTAGGGAATCGTAAAAATTAAACACACGCCTATTATGATACTTGCATATAATATAATATTGAAATGGGGAGTTGGTCAAGTGAATAATAGGTCCACATTCTCATGTGAGTTGGTTTAAGATAGGAATCAATTAATCAAATATAAATTCCCCAGAACTTAGAAGTGGTCCATATATAGGAGTTGTACATCATGATTTGTGGCCCATTTTGATAAAAATTTCTTCATTTTGACAATTTTATTTAGTTGATAATCATCACATCACATTCTGACTAGCAGCTCCACCAACTACTACATTCACAATTCAATGTGCTTCTCACAATTTCTTCTTTTGAACACAACCTTAGAAGAAAGAAAAAAGGTTTTGCTACCCTTTGTTCATACAATTTTTTTTCATTTTTGTGTCCAAACGCCTACTATAACAATTGAATTGTTTACAAGGTAATTACCAAGTTAAGGTGGATGTACTAAATTGAGAGATCTCATTTTAATTTTCAGTCCACTTATTATAGGTAGATATTCATCTAATCAACTAGTTTAACATGTGATGACAAGTTAGTTATAATTACAATTTTATCAGTTCACTAATTAATATTTACTATCTCAAGAATTACTTGTAATTTATACTATTAATATATACCACTCAAACTCATATTTGGTAATTATGGACAATAGACGTCTGCCATTACGTACGTGGCTGAGCCTAATACATTGTATCCATTTGCCTACATTATTGGAGCAATGGCAAATCTTTTAATAATCGTCACCAATACACCCAAAAATATCTTTCTACTAATGAAAATGAAGTCATTAATAATGAAAAAAGAGGAAAATATCAGCACAA